ATGGAAATAAAGAATGCGTATTACACTTAGGACAAGTTTTCAATAGTTAAGTGTAGTAGCATGTGCCTGTAATCTCAGTACTCAGGAGGCAGAGGCAGGATGAATCCAACTTTGAGTCCAGCCTGGGTTGCTCAGTGAGTTTGATGGCTTGAACAGACGAGACCCTATCTCAAACAAAACAAAAAACAAAAAACAAAATGAGTTTTCACTGAGAACAAGCTGAAAATCTAGAAACTGATTTAAAAATAAATAAATCTGTGCTCAAACCCAGCATGGTGGCTCATGCTTGTATTTCTTAAACTCAGGAGGCTGAGTCAAGAGAATCACCAAAGAGTTCAAGGCCAGCCTGGGCTCCACAGTGAGTGAGCTCAAGGCCAGTCTGAACTACATACTGAAACCCTGTCCCAAAAAACTAACCGCCAAACAAACAAAATTTGTGTTCATAACCCTCATAAAAGTTGTTTAATACTTTTTTTTTTTGAGGCAGAGTTGTTTGGGAGCAGGCTATGTGACTTGGGTCCCAGAGTCCAAGGCTGATATAACTTGTTTCAGGAACAGAAAAATTAATTTTAGAAAACCCACAGGCTTTCTGACTGTGTGGGAAAACTCATATACACAGCATTCCTGGGGCAAGATAACTTCTGCTGAGGACAATGCATAGAACAGAGGCATCTAGGTAGGGGGAAGGATCTGTTCCCCATTAATCTCCTTCACTATTGCTCACTAGTTACACATTTACTGACATCTACTGGCAGTCACTGTTCCACAAATGATGCATGACCCCCTCCTCTGTGTTTTTGGCTTTCTAAAAGTGGGTCTACCCAGAGACCATTGAGAATGTCCACTAGAGGCATCTCTCCCACCAGATCCCTTTGCATTCTAAATTATTGTTTCTGTCTCTTAGACTTCACACCCAGGTGATTTGGGTTCTGGTCAGCCTCCCATACAGAGTCTCACTATATGGTTTAGGTTGACCTTGAAGTCACTGTATACCTCAGATTGATCTTGAACTCACTGCAATCCTCCTGCCTCAGACTCCCAAGCTCCGGAATTATAAGCATGTTCCATGGTGCCCAGCCTTTAATGTATTTTGAAAATTGCTCTTTTAGGGATATTTTTGTGTATTATGCCTTTGTCAGGCAGAATAAGTACTTGGTAAGATCACACATCTACATTTTCTAGCAGAGCGAAATCAGGTACGGCTGGGCTGTGACTAGAGTTCAGTGGGAGAACGTTTGGCCAGCATGTGCAAAGTGCCCCTCACCCAGTTTTTTTGGTGTCGTTTTTGACATTTCAAGTTCCCAGGGGCTTCTACCTTATGTTCTGTGATTTGAAAACTCTTTTGTAAGTTTGAGTATTTTTCTGAAGGTTAGGTAGAACTGATGAAAGAGAAAACCATTTTGTAGTAAAAGGGCTATGTGGCAATTGTGGCTTGGGCGGTGAGGGAAAGAATGTTAGGAAGTTAGCTACAAAACTATTATACTTTCTGGAGATGGCTTGCAAGGGCTCAGGCTCTGGTGTAGGAGGAAACTAAAATGATATGGTTTTCTTCTTTTTATTTCTCCTTCTTTTTCATTTGTAGAACTCCAATTTCATTTGGGTGTCTGTACTTCAGGGGAGATGATCATGCTCCTGGTTCAGAGGTACATCCTGATTAATCCAAACGAATCACACAATTCTATGTTCCTTGCCAGTTACTATTTTTAAAATGAGCATGAGATGCAGTTTGGGGCAATGAGATGAGAAATTCGCTCAGTGAATTCTGAAAAAGTTTTCTGCATTCATTCCATATATACAAGGAGATGCCATCCACTTCTTCCACGCAGGTGGTGTTCAGGGTAATGCGGAGATCTCTGGGTACTGTCCTGTAACTGAGGGGACAACTGGTCTACAAAGAAAGACAGAAACAGCCAGGGTCCTTGCATGCGATTCAGCCACCCATTCTCCCATTTCTTGGGTTTGTTTCACTAGGAGAATGAGGACAAGGTTTGCAAGGACAGGTGAAAGGAGAGCAAGATAATGAAACTGTCATATATATATATATTTAAATATACATATATATGGTACTGGAGATTGAACCCAGGGCCTTCACACTTTTGAGTCAGGGTCTTACTAAGCTGCTGCTGCCCAGGCTGGGCTTGAATTTCATCATAAATGTTCAATGTAAAGAGTAATAGTGTTTCTGGTGGAAATAGCCAGCACCTGATTAGTCAGCAGAGCTGAGGGCTAAATCAGGCCCAAATTGTCAATGTGGATGTTATGTGCAGAAACTAGTGCCTCTGGGGGGAAACTAAAATTAGAAGAGAGTCAGACATGGTGGTGCACGCCTACAATTCATGTCTGCTGGGAGGTTGAGGCAGGAAGATTACAAGATTGAGCCCATCTTGGGCAATTTAGCAATTTGTCTCAAAATAAAAAATAAAAAAGGGGCTGAGTATGTAGCAGCACAAAAGGCCCTGGGTTCAATCCTCAGTAGTACACACACACACACACACACATCCATGCCCAAAATAAAACCAGAGGGGAAAATATCAAACATTATTATCTGTTTAAAGAAAAATGTACCTCTGCCAACCTATTCTTTTTTGTTTTTTGTTTTTTGAGACAGGGTCTTGCTGTGTAGTTCAGGCTGGTCTTTTCTTGAGTTCACTGTAGCCCAGGCTGGCCTCAAACTCAGTAATCCTCCTGCCTTAGCCTCCCAAGTATTAGGATTACAGGGGTGCACTACCATGCCTGGCTAACCTATTTTAAAAATAATAATCTAATAGCCAGTGTGGTGGCACATGTCTGCAATTCCATCACTTTAGGAGGCTCAGGCAAGAGGATCACAAGTTGGAGCCCTGTCTGGGCAATTGAGTGACTTAATGAGGCCCCATCCCAAAATTTTAAAGAAGGGATTAGGATAAAGCTCAATGTGAAATCTCTGGGTTCAATTCAGTCTCAAAGAACAACAATTACAAAGATAATGATCTAGTTATTTCCAGAAAAAGAATCCTGATTCCACAACACAACAAAAACAAAAACAAAAGCAAAAGTAAAACAAAACACTCAAGAAACAAAACAAAACAACTATTTGCAAGTGCAAAGAGCTGAGTTCAATTCCTGGTACCAAAACACACACACACACAACAACAACAAAATACTTCAGCTTTTATCTTTCATCAGAAAAATTTAATATGAATATTTCCAGATAATATAAGGATATTAATATCTCTGGTTTTTGTTGTTGGTAGTGGTTTTTGAGATAGAATCTCTCTGTGTAGTTCAAGCTGGCCTTGAACACATGGTGATCCTTCTTTCCCAGCCTCTCAAGTGCTGGGATTACAGGCATGTGGCACCATGCCCAGGCTTTTTTTTTTTTTTTTTTTTAAACATCTCTGGTTTTAAAAGAAACAGATTTATCTCTCACCACTGCAGTAATATGACCGTTCAGGGGGAAAAAAAATCTAGTCATTCTTATTGAATCAGAGAATAATCTTTAATGAACCAGATTTTTTGTGGTTTTTGAAGAAGAAAAAGGAAAATGCATCTAAGGAGATGATCTGTCTTATGAGAATAATGACAGCTGTATGAGTCTGTTTTTCATTACTGTAATGAGTTACGTGGGGCTGGATAACCTTGCCATGAAAAGTCACTTTATCTCACAGTTCTAGAGAGTCAAGAGTGTACCTCTTGCGACAACCTTCTCAGTTGGCAGTGCCTCAGCACAGTGCAGGGCATTGCGTGCAAGAGTATATGAGCATGAGTACCTCCCCTGGCCTCTCAGCGTCTGTCTTCCTAAAAAACAACCAGTGTTTTCAATCACAGGGGCTCCATTCTAATGATCTTATCTCATTCTCATCACTTCCCCAAGGCTCCCCACTACACGTCACAGTAAGATTGTATTTCCACCTTCTCACCTCCCAACGAGAATTAAATTTCAGCACTCGAACCCTTGGGGGAAACATTCAAACCATTTCCAAACTACATGAACAGCTCTAAGGTGACAAGTTTTGGGCAGAGGGTTTTGCAAACTATTTCCCATCCTGACTCTGCCTGAGATGTAGTATTAGTTCAGATTTACAGCGAGGAAAAGAGGATAATCGGGTCCACCGGTTTCCAAGACACATGCTCCTTGAGGCACATGCCGCTGGCTTTTCGAGAAGGAGAGGAAAGAGCAAGGAAACCAGTGGGCTGGGAGTGTACATACTTTTCATTCGGGGAAGTCTGCCAAAGAGTCAGGGAAGGAGCAGATGGAAAGAGGGTAACAAGTCCTGAATTCTGTCATCACCACCCAACCTCTATAGTTAGCTAGATAATCTTGAGACTCTTACATGTAGAAGACACAGTCCCACAGCAGTCTGGTCCTCCACTACAGGAGAAATTTCACATTTACTAAAAATGACTTTCTCCAAGCATGTATTGATGAAAGAGACCACTACAGATGGAAACAGCCCTAACTAAGAATTAAGTTAGTCATCCCAGGGTTCTGTCTCTGGCTCTCTTGTCTTTTCACAGTTCAGTAGTTTGGTCAAACTCATTTATTCCCATGGTTTTCACTACCTTTCACATGTGAACAAATCCCAAACATTTATATATAGAGCTCTTTCCAGATCACACACCACCTCATGGTGTTCTCACCAGCATTTCAGACTCAGTAGTCTGAAACTGAGCTCACCATCACTCTAACCCGCACCGAAAACCTCTTTCCAACCAGCATTTTCTCTCTTGGGCAGTGTCATGACAGCCAACTGTTGTAACCTGAAACTTGTTTCCATCTATTTTCTTTCACCACACAGGTCAAATCCAATTCTATCACATAAACATCTTTTAAATTTAATGCATTCTGCAGAATAACTTCACAGTTACTTTGTCTTACTGAGATAAGAGCAGGTGCTTATCAAGGAACAGAGAGGCAGGATGACCTTCAGGAAGGGGCTGCCAGAGAGGCTAAGGTAGGAGTTTGACAGCGTGCACGGTCTATAGAGATGGCGTGAGCATAGTTTAGGAAAGACTCCTACCGATACTGTTTGGGTGGCACTGTGCGAACAGGTGTCACTGAAGACCTCCAAAACCATCTCTGGTAATTTCTCTTCTTCATCCATTTCCTACAGGGAAAAAATAAAAAGCAAAAATTTCAAGTTACTTATCACTGTTTTGTTCAAATAGCAAAAATAGGAAACATCAAATGTATACCACTAGGAAATTGTTTAAATAATTGATACATACACGGCATACTACGATTTGTGTTTTGAAAATGTGGGGAAAGAAATAATGAAGATATTTACCAATTTATGCATGAACTTTTTTTTTTGGTACAGGGAATCGAACTCGGGACCTTGTGCTTGTGAGGCAGGCAAAGTACCACTGAGCTAAATCCCTGACACTGCACAGATATCTTTGAAAGGATACAAATGATGACTCCGTTCACCTACAGAGAAGGGAACTATGACTGGAGCCGGAAACGCGGGCAGGGAAAGTCTTCAAGGAGTACCATTTCAAAACCCTAACAACCTTGAAAGATTTATCATTTAAAAAGTACACAAAACAGGGCGTGGGATTTTAGCTCAGTGGTTCCGCCGCCTGCCACAAAAGCACAAGGTCCCGAGTTCAATCCCCGATACAAAACAAAACAAAAACAACGTACACAAAATGAATTCCCCTCAGTCTGCGCGCTTCGGCTGAGGGGTCGGTCGCATCACATCACGTGCTTTTCCTACCGTCTTCAGCCACCGGAGTTGGACTCTCTCCGCTCTGAGAATCTCTCAACCGGCACCGCTTTCTCCCCTCCCGTGTGAGAAGCGAGAACGTGGCACTGCGCGCCGCTGGTAAATCTGCACAGCCCCACAGCGCAGGCCTCCTCAGGCCTCAAGCACGCCGCTCCCGGGTCACTTCCGGGAACCTCCCTCCACTTCCGGCCACCTCCCTCCACTTCCGGCCACCCTACAAGCCCCTCGACCCTTCCTATTTCAGAGAATTCTTCTCTCTACTCTCTCAGGCTCCCCTCCACTTGCATGACTCTCACCTTAATGTCTCAGCTCGCTGGTCACATTTTCAAGCAGCCTTCCTTAAGACCCAAAGTTAGGATAACCCTACTGCAGTAAGACCCACAGCGTACAATGGCTCATCTTGCTAGTATTTAAAGAGAGAGAGGGAGAATCGATGGGGCTCACCATGGCATCCTCAAAGTTTAGTATATA